GCAAGCTGGGCAGGCATGCCTGAAAAGGGCGTTGTTGTTGATCAAACTCGGTATTTTATGGGTGAGTTTGCAAAGTTGCTTGAGGAGCATGGCTGTGAAGTCAACATTGCTGCAAAAGCATCACCTTGGCACATTGGCGCAGTTGAGAGACATGGTGGTACCTGGAAGTCAATCTGGCGTCGTGTTGCTTGGTCACAACAGATCAGTGGTGTGCAGCAAGTGAGAGTTGCTACGGCTGAAGTGAATAAGGCAAAGAATGCCTTGTCTCGCAGATCAGGTTTCTCGCCTGAACAATGGGTGCTCGGACGCTCTGTCCGTGTACGTGCAAACCTGCTGGACGATGGAGAAGTGGCCCGCATTGGAGCTCAAGCAGCTGCATTGACACCTGGCGCTAGGTTTTACAAGCAGTTGCAGTTGAGAACCGCTGCAAGAGAAGCTTGCGTTCGAACTGCAAACAGTGATGTTTTGAGAAGAGCAGAACTTCGCAAGGTTCGTCCAAGCCGTGGTCCTTTCCCAGTTGGTAGTTTTGTCTTTTACTATGACACGTCAGGTGCAGATGCAAAGCATGGACCACATTGTTGGAGAGGCATTGCAAGAGTACTTGGACACGACGGTAGTCACACCGTTTGGTTGAGCCATAGAGGTATCCTTGTTGCAGCCTCACCGGAGCACCTCAGTTTAGCAGACGATGATGAAGTGAAAGGTTGGATGGTGACAAGTCGTGAATCAGAGTTGATTGACGCAACACCCTCAGTCAGCTCAAACACCTTCTTGGACTTGAGGCGGAAGCTGCCGCCACCTCCAGACGGTTTCACTGAGGAGATGGATGACATGCCAGAGATTCAACAAGAGACAGATAGAGCAGTTGAAAATGTTCCCAGACCAAGTGCAGTGGTTGAAGAAGAGCCGAAGGACGTCATCATGAGTCCGTCCATTGCACCAGCAGAAGAAGCAGTTGAACCAGAGGAGACAGCCGAGGCAAGAGAAAAGAGGCTCGGAAAAGAATGGTCCGAGCGTGATCGGAAGCGCGTGGTCCGATCCAGTGAGTTCTTCAAGAAGAAAGAGCAAGACCGCAAAAGCAAGAAGGCAGTTTCCATTTCGTCTTCAAGGTCGGCGCCCTCTTCACTCGAAAAGATGCTTGGGGAAGCGGCTAAAGCGCCCGTCGATCCTGAAGAAGATCCAGAGTTGGAAGGATCCGAGATGGTTCCTTTTGACCTTGATACAGATGATTATCATCAGGCACAAATAGCACCAGAGATTCCACCGCTTGAAACCACCACAGCTAGAGCAGAGGCGGAGGAACGTGCAGCCAAACGCTTGAGGACTAACAGTCCAAAGCCACGTGAGGGAGCAATGTTTTCCTACATGGTTTTGCAGGACCCCAATGTTTGGCTGGAGAGAGCACGATCGCAGTACATGGAGAAAGAGCATTTTTACAGCAGTTTGCGCGTGAGTTTAGAAGAGTTTATGTTTGGGGTTGAGCGAAATGTTTTTGATGATCGGTTGGAAGCTCTACATGAGGAGTGTTTTTCTTCAGAAATGTCAGAAGCAAATCCTCTTAGTCCCGGTGGCAGTTTGAATGCAGCAGCAAAGAAAGGACGCAAAGAAGTCCAATTGAAAGACCTTTCCCCAGAGATTCAAGAATTATTTACAGGTGAAGGTGGATCAGATGGCAAAGAGTGGCAAGGTTGGCAAGACAAAGATGCTTGCGATGTCCTGAGTTTAGAGGACAGCCTAGAAGTGCGGCGCCAGAAGCCAGACTTGATTGTTCCAACACGTTGGGTCCGCGCAAACAAAGCTGAAAACACTGCCGTTGATCCATACAAGGCGAAGTCGAGATTGGTTGTCCAAGGATTCAAAGACAAATCCTTAGGGCGCTACCGCAGAGACGCCCCGACAGCTTCACAGATCGCAGAGAGCATTTTGCTTTGCCTTGTTGTTTACTTTCGTTTCATTTTGATCAGCAAAGATGTGAAGAATGGATACTTTTGTGGCAAGCCTTTGGAACGGGAAATTTTTCTTGAGCAGCCTCGTGGAGGCCTTCCTGGTTTGCAGCGTGGAGTTTTGTTGAAAGCAAAGAAGGCAATCTATGGTTTCGCAGAAGCCGCTCGTTTGTTTTGGCTCGCATTAAGAGAACACTTGATTAGCGATGGATGGGTTGAGAGTGTTTTGGAACCAGCACTTTTCTACCATCGAAATGAAGATGGAGGTTTGAACGGTGTTCTTGGTGTGACACATGTCGATGACATTGAAGGAGGAGTCGAACCCGGATTGGAGAAAGAACTTTTTGCAAACAGTTCTAAAGCCCTTGATTTCGCCACGAACCATCGGCTCAATTTCACTTTCAGAGGTCGTGAGTTGTCACAGCAAGAGCTGAAGGATGAGCATGGTCAAGTTTTTGGCGGCCACATTGATGTGAGCATGCGTAACTGCTTTGGGCATGAGTAAGATCAAGATCGACAAGAGTCGAAGAGAAAATGTGGACGCTGAATTGAACGCTGAAGAGAAAGAGATTTTGAATTCAGGAGCAGGTGAACTTGGTTGGATTACCAGACAGCTTCGCAGTGCGAACTAGATATTGGAGTGATGTTAATTTAGAGAAAGGAGCATTGATTTATTTAGCAGACTCCGGACATGCAAATGGGACACCGGAGAAAGATGATATTTTGAGATACAGATCAGTTGGCGGTTACTACATTTTGATTGGTGACCCGTCAGTATTGGAAGGTGAAACAGTTCGAGCAAACCTCATTTGCTATCATAGCAGCCAGACCAAAAGAGTTTGTCGAAGCACCTTGGCTGCCGAAGCAAGTCACCTTTCAGAGTCGATCGAGGCCGGAGATTGGATAGCAGCGCTTTTACATGAAGCCTTCCACGGTAGTGTTGATTTGAAGAATTGGCCCCAGATCATTGAGCAAAGAATGAGAATTTATGTGACAGATGCACGTTCAGTTTTTGATTATTTGAGTAAAGATGCCACTTCGACCAGTTCAGATAAGCGCATGGCCATTGAAGGCGCGCTTCTCAGGGGGACAGTTCGTCGTCCCGGTGCACATGTTCGCTGGATAGACGGTCAACAGAACATGGCGAACATACTTACTAAAGCTGGAGCTGACAAAGAGGTACTTTTGAACTTTCTGAAAGATGGATATTTTTCGTTGGTGCAAACAGAAGCAAATCGGCTGCAGAAGGAGAAACAGCGAAATCGTCGAGCCCAACAAAAGAAAACTATGAATGTGAAATCCGCTGTTTTGCAGGTCGCATGAGCATTGGCCTCGACGTCCGCAGCCATTTGCCAGACCCGAGTGGTCCACCCGCGTGGTCCACCCTCTCCCGGCCTGACCGGCCCTTGTTCGATCGTTGTGCCATAGCCCGGGCTTCATCGCCCCGGCCGTTCGTGGAGACTGACTTTCGTCCTGGCCTGTCCGCTGGAAAAGAGAGGGAGCAGCCGCTTGTGATTCTTTTTTGTTGCAGTGCATTGCATCATTTACATTGGAAACCTCCGCACCAGTTTTCAAATGTTTATATATATTGTCTATTGACCAGAATAGTTTGGGTAGAGGACAAGACAGGGAGACTGCGTGACAGGAAATGCAAGAAACGAGGTCGCCCCGCTGAGGGAGCTGACCAGGCCAACCGGGTGTGTCCATCCAATTGGTGGACAAAAGCGGCGGCGAGACTCTGTGCAAGCTAGAATCTCTTTCTCATAGAGATAGCTTTCGGACAACTCAGGAGGACACTTGCGGGTTTCATCTTTACAGCCGCGTCTTGATATGGGATCTCCTCTTTGCTCCTAAAAGAAAGCTGCAACAAATGGGGGCGCCCCACATTGAGGTGGGAGAGGACATACAATGTAGGCAGGAACCTCTGAGTTGCTTGGGGGTGCCCTCTTCTTTTGAAAAGGTGAAAAGGCGTTAGCCGGATGAACAATGGGCACCTCTCAGAGCTATAGATGCAACGGAGTCGGACTTTTTGCGCGGATCGAAGTCTATCCTATGCCCAGTATAACAGCGGAGGAGTTGATGCAGGCGTCATGTATATCGGCTCTATCATATCGAGCCCCAATGCGAAACTCTGCGTCTCTCAACCTTCTGTTTTCCCGTGGCTAATAAGAGTAGAAAGAAATGCAAGAAACGATGGCGCCCCACACTGAGGGAGCTGACCAGGTTGTTGAAGGGGCGAGACTCTGTGCAAGCTAGAACTTTCATCAGTCACAAGACTTTCATCTGCGCTTACGTAACATTCATCGGTCCACTTTAATGGGCACTCACTTTCTGCTCCGCCGCAGAGAAGCGGGGAGACTCTGTACCACCAGAGAACCTCTAAGCTCTAAGCGCTCATAGAAACAGCGTTTCCCGTTTCACAACTCAGCCGGACATTTCCAGACTTCATCTTTACAACTACATATTCACATAAGATACTGAGGCAACCTCACCAGGTTTGTGAGTCCAGGTACGAGACAGGAGAGGGAAGCAGAATGCAGGCAAGCGCCCCTCACTTGCTTAAACGTGCCCTTTTTCTGTGTGAAAGCGGCCTTGAACCAAGAGAAAAACCACCCCCCGAACTGCGAATGTCCTGCTCAACTCAACCTTTGTCCTAACGCACGGGCTCTATCCTATAATCACTAACAGTGAATGGGCCTTGATCAAGGCCTTGTATATAACGAGCCTATCATATCGACCCTCAATGCGGGACTTTGCGCCTCTCTGCCTTCTATTTCCCCATGCCTAACAGCAGTAGAGGTCACTGCAATGTCGACTTCACCCCATAACAACAATGATATATTGTTACGGAGGCTTGCTTTCATTTCCTCCCTTCTCCGGTATGTTTTTTTGTAATCATGCCGTGCATCTTCGTTTATAGCACATTGCGCTGTGGCACTTTGCATCAATTTCAACTCACTAGTCACTGGTTTGCAGGACGTGTGATGCATGTTGTGTATTTCACTCATGGGCAAGACTTTACGAGCTGGCTTGGACGCGCTGTTGGCTGCTGCTGAGGGGCTGAACGCCGCACCGTTGCTGTTGGCTGCACCACACCCCCTGGGTCTCGTAGCACGGGACGAGCTGCGTGGCAGCGGAGGCTTTGAGGCCCAGTGGCCTACAGGCGTCGCATGGGCACAGATTTCTTGGTGAGACTCTTATCCAACAAAAAAGGAAAGGACAATCCCCATGAGTATTACTATATATATATATATACTTCCATTTCTGTTGACTTGATGCTGTTTGTGAAAGCCGCGGAACTCACATTTGAACTTGCAATAGTCTCTGGACTTTGAACCACGTTCTACATGGCAATTGACAAATTGAAGAGTCTAAGTCTAGGCGTTGTCAACTCTCCGTCCTCATTCAGTGTTGATTTGGGATCGTCTCCACTCTGATCCGCACTGCCAGATTCTTCCATAGCGAGCTTTTGACCCAACGGCTTCGCACTAGAGCACCACAAAGACGAGTTTTGCCCAGGACTGTTCATTTCTCTATGAATATATATATATATATATGTACATATATATATATATTGAGCAAATTCATGTTTTCTGTGTATATTTCCATACACTATACTTCGCACACAGATCCTTGCCAGGGTGGTATGACGTTGACTGGGGACACCCATTCTTTCGTCTCGGCCTTGTTGCCTCGGGCTAAGAGGGCCGGGCGTACTCTTCGTAGCGATCAGCATTAGTTGGTGGCAGAGGCTTGACCCCAGGTTGGGGGGGCGGGTCCGTCATTCGAGGGGGAGGCGATGGGCGTTCAACGCGTCACCTTGTCCTCGAGCTCGGGGGAGCCCGATCGTTAATTCACCTTCGAGCATTATGCACACATATATATATATAGATGGCCTTGGGGATCGACCACCCACGTTTCCATAGCGAAAGTAGACGGTTCAGCTTCCAGGTGGTGCTTGAGATAGGCCCTTTGCTAAATCAAACTTGGGAGTTGTGCTTTAGAGTCGTGCCAATTGTGTTTGGGCATCCGTGAGTGTGTGCGTCAGGTCTTGAGGGACCAGGACTTCCTCCAGAACGGTAGAGGTGAGCTGCGCGGTGCTGTGCGCCTCCGCCTCCGGATGCTGTCAGAGGAACGCTGGTGGCCTGGGTTGCCCAGACTGGAGAGTTGTTTATGCCAATTTGCAAGACAGCCTAGTACCTACCTGCTCCTAGTAGTTCGGGCAGGAGCCCCTAGTAGCGTCCTTGCTCCTAGTAGCGATGCCAGGAGCCCCTAGTAGCTACTTTCTCCTAGTAGCTACTGCCTATTTCGTTTTACTCTTGCAGGGCAGTACTCCGGGTAGGGCTGCTCTTGTTGTTTTGGTCCGTATGACTAGGCGGTTCTTTAGTGGGACCCTTGGATCGTGTCAATAATGTCTTGTACACTCGGGTATTGTGGGACTCGAATCTTGGGATCCTGCGATTTGGAGGTTGATCCTTCTGCGGGCCTCAGCTGTGGAGAGGTGGATTGTACCAAAAGAGCGGCAGCTGTTCAATCGTCAGCTGCAGGCGAGTGGCGGCTGTGAAAAATCATGTGAAATGTTTTGAAAGGTGAGCAGATGTTTCACCAGATGATTTGAATGTACGGTCAGCTCATCAAGCAGGCATATCATTTTTTGTTGGTCATCCTGAAATGGAGTGGTGATCTGAGGACTTCCTTTGCAGAGTTTGAACCACGAATCCTTTGTCTCAGATATTAATGGCAAGTTCTGCCAGAGTCTGTGGCAGGCTCGCGTAGCTCGTGCAAATAAGCTCTACCCGCTGGAGCAAAAGCGACTTGGATTCAATACAATATATATAAATAAAGGAAAACACACACACATATATATATAGAGTCCAGTTACTAGTAGCCTTTGATACTAGCAGCTTCTTGTTACTAGCAGCGATGCGCGTTGTTACTTGTTAACCAAAGGATACCACAGGATATATAATATATGTAGAGAGAGAACTTCGGGAACGTGTCAAAAAGATTAATGCCTTTACACTATTTTTTGCACCTCGAACGCAAGCAGGGGGAGTAAGAACACAATACCCGTGTTTTCGAATCGGGCATGTACACATTATAGAAGCATCATCAATGTAGGAAATGAGATGCCCAAAGCTGCCTGAGCAAGGTTGCTTCAGAGAAGGATGCGGCACCTTGACCAAGAGGCCGCGCTGTTGGATACAATGCCGTTGTTTTCGTCTTCAATTTCCAGGAACAGGTGTGCCGATCAGAGCTGCCTGCGAGGCAACAGAACTGCGCAAGCTCTTCACCCAACAGTTGCTGAGCTTGCAGTTCATAGAGTATATATATATATTTCAAGGCTTACGCCTAACAGCCGGGCGCCGGCCCACTTGGGTGTGTGGGGGGGGCCTATGTTGGCCGTAGTGGGGCCTGTATTGAGCAAAGTTAAGCTATCTGGTGCGCATCTTGGCCCTAGGTGGGGCCCATGTGGTGTATGTTGGGCACATCTTGGGCCCATGTTGAGCCTATGTTGGGCCTATGTTGGCCTATGTTAGGCCTATGTTGGCCTATGTTGGCCTGGGTTGGGCCTATGTTGGGCCTATGTTGGCGGATGTTGGCCTCATGTTGGCCTATGTTGGCTGGGCATATGTTGGGGATATGTTGGCTATCTTGGGCCTATGTTGGGGATATGTTAGGCGATTTATGTTGAAAAATCTTCCGATACAACTTTTTACGATTTTTTTCCTTCCCGCAAAGCAAAAACCATGAAAAAACCTAGGCTTTTTGACATCGCCAAGATGAAATTCTCGGCTGCCGAGGGGCCCGAAACCCTGTAAAACACAGTGTTTTTATACCTCACACACACGATACACTGTAAATTACAGGGGCTTCAGTTGACCGGTCATCCCCCCGTTTTCATGACGAGGGTCGGCGGCAGCCGGCGCGACCGTCTATAACCTTCGGTTACCACCGAAGGCCTCCGGCAAGGACACGGGCCCGTGGCCGGCGCCCGGATTTAAAGGCTTACGCCTAACAGCCGGGCGCCGGCCCACTTGGGTCTGTGTAGGGCTGGGTCGGGCGCACGTTAAGCTATCAGGGGCATACTGGGCCCTGGTGGTGCCGGAAACTGGTCTGCGTCGGAGACGGGGGCCCTATATTGAGCAAAGTTAAGCTATCTGGTGCGCGTCTTGGCCCTAGGTTGTTGGGCCAAGTGGGGCCCATGTGGTCTATGTTGGGCATGTTGAGCCTCTCCTATGTTGGCCTAGGTTGGGCCTATGTTGGCCCCATGTTGGCCTATGTTGGCCCTATGTTGAGCCATCTTGGAGGCTATGTTGGGCATATGTTGGGGATATGTTGGGGATATGTTGGCTATCTTGGGCCTATGTTGAGGATATGTTAGGCAACGTAAGTTGTCTGGAGGGCCTCTACCCACAAAATGTCGATTAAGCTTGTCCGCCCGGCGCGCATTACCGACACCACCCTTGAAAAACACAGCATTTTTGCATTTCTCCCTTTTCCCCGCGTCGTACTTCGATATGCGCAATAAACTCTGTAAAACACAGTGTTTTCGATGCCTCACACACACGATACACTGTAAATTACAGGGGCTTCAGTGACCCGGTGGTCCCCCCGTTTTGATGACGAGGATCGGCGGCAGGGGGCGCGCCCGTCTATAACCTTCGGTTACCACCGAAGGCCCTCCGGGCATGCCACGGGCTTCGTGGCCGGCGCCCGGATTGTAAGGGCTCCGCCCCCTGCCGCCGACCCCGGGGATAAGGCATGACATCGGTCACGGTGGCAAATGTATAGGAATGGAGGTAGCAGCTATTAGCAGTGCAGACGCACACTTATAGGAATGGAGGTAGCAGCTATTAGCAGTGCAGACGCGCACGACATCGGTCACGGAGGCAAATTTATAGGAACGGAGGTAGCAGCTACTGTCTCGTTTCATTACTACAGTCTCGTTTCAGTAGTATTGCTCTACCAAGCTTGTTGTGTTAGTTTTTTGCGCCTACTTGCTGGCTGATGCCACTTGTTTGCTGCTCCGTTTGTTGTTTGCTATCCTTTGTTGGTGTTTACTATACTTTGCTGTCACGTGACAAGGGATGCTCGGGGGAAGTACACAGTGCTCCACAGTGCTCGGACAGTGCTCTGACAGTGCTCAAAACAGTGCTCGGAAGTCAAAAACATGGAAAATACCAGCGATTCGGGCAGTAGCAATGCAAAACGATAGAAATTTAGAATTCTAGGCTTTTTATTGATTCATTTACCACTCCTGTGGCCATACCCACAGTATTTACAGTGCTTTGGTGCGCGGGTACTGTCTGGAGCACTGTTGGAGCACTGTCCGGGCACCGTGGAGCACTGTGTTGCCATGTAGTCCTCCACAAGTTTGTTGGCCCGCCGCTGTTTGCTTGGCGCAACCCTGTGTCGGGTACTGTTGATGGACAAAATCCTGCACCGCCTCACCACTTTACCCTGGAAGGGTCGCATAGCAACCCCCGTGCCCCCTCATTCAATGTTGGCGCGACCCCTCTGAGGAGGTGGTGCAGGATTTTGGACCTTCAACTTGTTTTTGTTTTCTCATTGTGGTGGCCACAATGTTAACGAGGGAGAACGAGGGCAGCAAGAAAAGTGTGCGCAAAGTGGTGCAGGATTTTGTCCATCAACAGTATTAGCAGTGCAGACGCACACGACATCGGTCACGGTGGCAAATGTATAGGAATGGAGGTTGCAAGTATTAGCGTATAAGAGGGCAGACGTACACGACATCGGTCACGGTGGCAAAGTTATAGGAATGGAGATAGCAGCTATTGGCAGTGCAGACGCACACGACATCGGTCACGGTGGCAAATTTATAGGAATGGAGGTCGCAGCTATTAGCAGTGCAGACGCACACGACATCGGTGCAAGTAAGCCGTTCTCTCACCTCCCACGGGTGCTCTGGCTGGTTGACACCTGCTCCCAGTCATTCCCTTCGCCGCAGCTTTCCACAATCTAATTCGAGACCAAAAATCGCCCTGAAGGGGT